CAATTGCTAAAGAGAATATCATTATTCTTTTTGTATATTTCTCGATGACAACTAAGTTTTTTTATGTAAATTATCAATGTATATGTACATATTCTTGTCTGAAACAATTGAAAATTATTTTTCTCTCTTTCTCTCTTTACAAGTCGAGTATCAATGAACAATATGTACGTAATAATTTTGATTCCCCAGTGATATGAGGGCACGCTTTGTCAATATTGAGTTTTAAAAGTATTCTTCTCTTCGTTTATGTTTATTTAAAGGCGGTAATCAACGAAATTGGTAGTCATCGACAGTACAGATTAGTGTTTTTAAAAGACTAAAAGTGTCTGCGTGTTAAACTAAGATACACGTGTTAGATGAAAATAATTGTTTTTTATACAAGTTTTAAAGATGCGCGAGCGTACGTGTTATTGAAACAAAAAAAAAAAAAATCAACGTATGATCGATAGTCACTGCTCTTCAACACTCACTAATAAAGGTGTTAAAAAAAAAGAATCAAACAATAATAACGTCAAATCAAATGAAAGGCGCACATTACACGATATTATTCATCGAGCGAAGAAAGAAGAGAGAAAAAAAATGAAACCTTCTAAAATTTAGACGTTGAAAATGTCAATCTAAGTGAAATAAATCGAACATGGACGTGCCAAATACAAAATGAGAACCATGTACTCGTGCATTTAACAAAACAAAAATAACCGTATTTTTCTATACTTTTCACAATTTTTCATAATTATTCAAAATAGATAGTCTTTATGTTTTCAATGTTAAAAAGGATAAACATAAAATAGTCGATATTTCTTTTTACAATTATCAGATTTCATTTTGCTAAGAACAAAAAAAAAGTTTCCCAAAATCTATCATTCAACATATTGTATCAATGTACTTTTGTCAATAGATGAAGAACGTAGAATTGAGTAAATATAAGAATAGTCAAATTTCATTTATTGAAGCTAAACATTTCATAGCAGCTCCGTTTAAGGCTAAAATGTGAAACTCCTTCCGACTGTTAATAGTTGAGTTCGTTTTTGTAATCCGTAATTAAACAACGGTGAATGAATTACAATAAAAATATACCAGCCGTTAATCGACGTTTTTTTTTACACAAACTCCAATTATTGAAATAATCGTTACTCTTCCGTGAACGACTTGTCTGCGAATGAAATTCTATTCACATTCACTCTCACACTGCTTACTGCCATCACATTTTAATTCGCTGAAGAGTTTTGTTGAAAAGTTTTGTTGAAAAGTCGATCCGCGGAAGAGTCATGTCACGGAAATAATCGTCTGTTGGGTCAGCCGTAACCGACGACTATTTCGATAATCGCGATTAACTGTCAGTTTTCAATAAAAATTGATGACATGCAAAAAGATAATAATTATAAGCCATGCAACAGTTTTAAGATCAAAACTGTAAATCTTGTACAATCTCAAGACCACAACGGTTGTAAAATGGTCGAGGCTCAGATTATTACTAGACAAACTTACGATCATAATTACTGCCATTATTTATTCAATTAAGAATATAACTACAATGGGGGATGGTGTAAAAAAACCAGCAAAAACACTAGCATTCTAAGTATATAACTTACACTCCTCCTTCCTTCGGAAGATATTTGGAGGAGTTCCACAAAAAAATTCCTAATTCTTTTAAGCATAAAAATGCACTATTTGGATACTTTTATTTTTACATGTTTAACAAACAGCATGTCATATAATTCAATCAACAGAAGAAGCAGATATTCACAACTTGTCAGCAATAGTGGATTCATAACAGGGGCGTCTATCCTGTGGGACGTTTGAGGCACAATACCTCCAACAAAAATAGGTAGAACACTTTTTTCCTGTAAAAATTCATTTTTTCAGGTGGTACACTGAAGACTCGAATCTCTAAGATAGTACAAAATGTCTCAAATGTTTAGGTGAGGATAAACGACGCTGATTTATGATGGATGCAGTATCGACATTTTCGATTTTCTATTGTTCCTTTTTAAAAATGAATTAATCTGTCGTTTGTAGTAATTCTCGTTTCTACTACATGCTGACTAATTTTTTGTAAATAAGTCCTATTTATCATGAACATTTTATTTATATACATAAGAAAACATTTTCTCAGTATTAAATAAACTTACATTACCACATCTTAAAAGCAAATCACGTACACTTTTATTAAACTGTTTTTATTACACAAAGTCGCATGTCTTCCATACAAGATGAAGAAAAAAAACAAAAACGATATGGTTTTATAACAATAATAATTCATGCTGTGTTTGTCAATCTTTCATTTCCTTTTTTTTTAACATTTTCCCTAGTGATGTATCTACGGTCTATAATTAGCATGCTAGAGAATTTTTTTTTTTTTATTCAATTAATTCAACTCGATCAAACGATTACCCTAATTTTTCTTCTTTTTTTTTTTTCCTTCTTTTTTCTTTTCTACTGTATACCAGCAATAAGACTAATTTGACCTTTAAACAACTTGTTTTACTAGTAATAGTAGCCAATCTTTAATTTAATTTAATCTAGTTTTTTTTTTTTTTTCTGTCTATAATTAAGACTCATCCGTCAGTTCGAGACATCCAACCGATAAGAACATCTGTTCAAACAATGACTATCTACAGCAAAAAATTGTACATATAAATGATGTATTAATAATTACTAAAGTAGCTGACAATGTGGTCATGATTCAATAATATCATTGACTAAACGGAAATGTCTTGTCTATGGATCATTTAGCAGACTATCGTTTGAAAAGAAGGACAATGTTATTTTATATTAGAGTATAATTGATAAATTTTCTATAGTTAAACAGTTTAGCAAAAAAAAAAAAGAAGAAAAACAAAACAAAAAAACAAAACTTTTAAGAAATTTTATAATCCAAAGATATTGAATTCTAAATCATTTTTTGACAAAAGTTGTATTCTGTCAATACTGTCGAAATACTTTTCATTATTATATTCCGTTTTCATTATAGAAGTCCAAATTTTTCTTTATGGTTGATTGTCAAAATAGCAAAAAAAAAAAATGTTCCATCTTCATTCATTTCTTTTTTCTTTGACATAAACAAAACAAAAAAATGGAAATGTTGTTGTCTCTTTGCGTCAAGCGATTGATTTGTCTTCATTTCAGAAAGAGAAAAAAAAAAATCATTTTTTTCCACTCTTTTTTCTTCTTTTTCTCTTTAAAGGTTAATAAACCAATCCGTTTTTATTCGATGAAGAAAAAAAATTTTAGCCAATCTAATTTATTGCACTTGTTTCGCGTTCTTCCCCTATAGGCACTGATTTATTCTATATGTCTTACGTTGTTTGATGTATCTGCGTACACACACACACGCACACATACACAAGAAAAATTAGTAGTTGTTGAAGATGAGCAGTGATTTGCCGATCGGTGAAAAAGAGAGAGAAGAAGAAGAAGAAGAAAAAAAAATACATCATCTAAATTCATCATTTGCATTTTGAGAAAAAGAAAACGTAAAAAAGTCGGGTGATTGATATATTCAAATTTTCGTTCTTTCTTTTTTTTTTTTGCGTAAGAAAGAGAGAGGGAAAAACAAAATAAACAAACATAATTGAAATTTAATTATTATTTTTTTCATTGCTCTTAGATATACTGACTTTAACTCTCTTTGCATTAATAATGAATTGCATTTCCTATATCTGTTGTTGTGCTTGCTGATTTGAAAATTAGATTTTTGTTATTGGTGGGGGACACAATCAGAATTTATGATAATGATTTGTATGAAAAACATGTAAGTAAAGTATTAGAAACGAGAATGCTAATGATTAATTTGATTATTATTATCGTAAAAAAAAAAAGAAAAAAACCGCATGCATAAATATTTATGTTTATGTACAAAGAAAGGATACCTGATTTATTTAATACCTTTATTTAGCAGTATGCAAGTGTGGAAATTTTTGACGTTTTACCTATACTATAAACCATTTTGTTCACTCTACGTGTTCAATCGGATTTTCAAAATAAATCACAAAATATCAGATTCTAAAGGCTTACTTACTTATGAATAAGTTACAAAAAACAGAATATTTGTATAAAAGACAGATTGACGAAAGTTGTCAAGTAGAAAAAGTGAATTTAAAATCAAAAATATTACTTTAAGAGAGTTGTAATTCTATATGTATAGATGATAAGAGTGATTTAAAAAGAAGCATTTAACCTAAACAGAAATATAATGGAGATAATCATATTATAAGCTCTATAAAGTAGTTAACTAATCGATTAAGATTGTTGATATAATATTTCTTAGATAATTGAATCGTCAGTTTTACCACGTAGAATTCTATAACTATACATTTTTATAGATATATATTTCTCAGTCATCTAAAAACCTATGTTCTTTCGTTGAATTGCATAACGTTTGACTACCAGGTCACACTTCATTTTCTATTCTCTGTGTAATTAGAAAATTTGTAGTGAAAATATCATTTTTACATCAAATTAGGAACACTAGAATACTAAAAAGCGCAGAAAACTGCAAAATTATTTTGTTTCAAGATTTTACTAACACGAGTGCTAATGATAACATCATCTGGAGAAATCATATTCAAACAGAAATATTCGATAACTGATTTTCTAATGAAGTATTTCTACTATTTTACTCATAATCGAATAAAATTTATGCAGAACTTAATCTTAAAACTTCGTATGAATAAGGTTCTTCGGTTGGACAATATTTCTCATATGAATTATGGCAATTTTTTGGAAACAGATTCATAGTGAATATCGATTATCAAAAAGTTTTTATTTTTTACCTAGTAGGAGTTTACACAAGAAATTTAAAGTGTAGATAGCTAATGGCTCGTGCTTCATTTTAGTACTTGAATTCTTGACTTCATCTTATCATGTTGACAAAATCAGTTCTCTGTTAACTTAATGTGACAGGTCCTTTTACGAAAAGAGAGAGAATCTTGATATTTTTATGAAGATATCACATTTTATTTTCTTCTTGATGTTTTTAGTAATTCAAATTTCTAATCATGACAACGATAACATCTTCAAATCAGTATTCTCTCCATCATCACCATCATCATCATCATTTGCATCCGCTGAGTCCACAGTCGGTTTTAACAATTCAAAATACGGCCGTTGTTGCACAACCTGGCAGTTCTCCTGCAATACCCTACGATGCAACACCACCTTATCATTTCTATTCTTCTTCTGCATCAAAAGAATTGTACAATAATTCAAACGACATTAAATGGAATCATCACCATCATCATCAACAACAATCATATCTAATTCAAGATTCCAATAGTCCACCACCTCAATTAACAAATAAAACTCCAACATCTGGTGGTAGTAATACACCAAGTCCACCACATTCACCACTATGGCATCAACAACAACAATCTGGCGTCATAATGCAGCATAAAGATAAAGATGGAACACAAACACAAAATGGGTAAGTTAAATTTCACTTAACGTCAAATTAAATGCATATTCGAATTATATTGTAGTTGTCCCTTTTATCTATAACATTTTACAATTGCAATAGAAGTTTAAGTAGGCAGAAAAGATGTAAATAAGCTCGCTTAAATTGTTAGTAGTGTGGACAATGTAGCTCTTTGGTCTGTAAAAGATAAGCTTTGAAAGGAAAATCATTAATTATTGGTAAAACGTTTCTCATTCAACTTTGTAATTACATTCTAAGTTTGAAAAATTCAACAAATTAAAACGTTTGATGATAAAATATTGTCTGACCGATACTAAAACTTCAACTAATATTTCTGACTCTTCTTTCCTTCAGGTATATTCGAAATTTACCAGGACAATCTCAAAATAACTTTCTCTCACCATGGCCATTATCAACCAACAATGGTTTTAATCATCCCTACTTTCATGCTGCTGTGGCACATAATCATTCTCATCATCAACATCATCCGTCTCATGAACTTCATCTTCAACAGTCACAATCACATCCAGGAGGTCAACAGTATGTTAATCCTAATGATCCTTTAATTGGTAGTCTCATGAGTGGCAATGGCAGTGGTGGCCGAGATGATGACTGTCAGAGTGAAGAAGAACAAATTGATAATAATGATTTAGATCGTTTTGCTAAACAATTTAAACAAAGACGAATCAAATTGGGTTATACACAAGCGGATGTGGGTCTAGCACTTGGTGAGGGTAATGTATTAAATAGACGAAAAGTGTTTTTGAAAAATTATTTGTACTACTCTTAGAAAAAGTTCTTTTCAAGAATAAGTACCATATTCAGTCTTTCCTTTATACGTACTCTGTTAATCTACTCTTCAAAAACATATGTAACATCAATTTTAGGTAATCTCTATGGTAATGTCTTCAGTCAAACCACCATTTGTCGATTTGAAGCTCTTCAATTAAGTTTTAAAAACATGTGTAAACTGAAACCATTACTTCAAAAATGGCTCGAAGATTCGGAGTCTCAAACGGGTACATCGAATTCCATGGAAAAAATTGCGGCTAGTGGACGTAAACGTAAAAAACGTACATCGATCGAAGTATCAATTAAACAAGCATTAGAAATTAATTTTTCTCGTAATCCAAAACCCGCTGCACAAGATATTGCTGCATTGGCCGATCAACTGGGATTAGAAAAAGAAGTTGTACGTGTTTGGTTTTGTAATCGACGACAAAAAGAAAAACGCGTTACACCACCTATTGGTGATCAGAAAAACGGGAATGATGAACAAACAACAGTAGATATGTTCGGATTTCAAGAAGGAAGAAATGTGGGAACAGATGAAAATGAAAGATTACCATTACTCGAACATATGGGTATGAATAATTTTCATCCACACGCTCATTATCATCCACAACAATTTAAACAGAGACTATCACCTAGTCCTAACGTAAATGATTCATCAACACTTTATGGTGGAAGGTAATATCTTACCTATGTTTTAATGTATTTTTTATTTGTGTTTCGAGTTATTCTTGTTTTCATTTCATTTGATCTTTCAGGCAAAGGTTTAGTTAAAGAAACATAAATTAGGGGAGAATAGAGGGGATCCTAATAAAGTTATAAGACACCAAAAAAAAAGAATAATTCCTTTGTCGATTTTTCGAACGTAGGCACAGCTAATGATCGTCAAGTATAGTGAGCGTATTAGATTTAGATTTGTCAATTAGGATGAAAAATACACATTGGTTCTCATTGTCCACTGTAATACTTTTCGGTATCAATTAGAGTCTGTTTTTCAATTGAGTTTCTTTATTAAAAATATGTTTCAAAATTAACTACATCTGAGCAACTTTCAAGGACATTTTAGAACAAAAGACAACTAACAAAATCTGTGCAGTGTTCTCAGTGTTCTACTATATTCTAAAGTATGAAGACAGTAATATTTTTTTTTGAATTATTTTTGGTGTGGTTTGTCGAAGCTTTACGATATTTTTTGTTTTTCTTGTATTCGTGATAATTATTGTTGTTGTTTTTTTATTTGCTATGTATCAAACACATTATTCTCACTCTCTCTTCTCTTTCTCTCTCTATATGTGTGTGTATATTATTTAGACAAAGAGAAATATGAATACTTTTCAACTTATACTCTACATTGATCAAACCGTTTTCTTAATAATATCGTACTACTTGTACGAAACATGGTGTAAATTAAAAACAAAAGTCATTAAGTTTATCTTAGAGTTAGATACATGTCAAATGTCACTCCGCCTTTCTCACTATTTTTAGTTTCTTTTACTTTTTCTTCAATCCCACGAGAGATCAATCATTTTAAATTTCACTATTTCATTCTACGTTCTTCTTCTTTTGATTTTTATCTCTACGATAAAAACGCAAAGAAATATTATGCATTTTGCACAGGTTTCGTGATAGAAAAGGAAAAGGATATGTAAATATATACCTGTTTGACTTTTTTGTAAATGTCACAGAATGAAGTGACACATAAACAAAAGGTATAAACGAGTCTTAAACAAATCAGATTACTTGAAACAAACATTCAGATACATTTTATATTCAGTACAACTATTATAGTATCTGTTTGATTATAAAAAACAACTTTTATAGGCACTATCAAAATTTGATATTGAAATGTTGATGAGTGTTGCACAAATCCTTATGTTCATGTACATAGAATGAAAATTTTTTCGCTAAGTCAAGTGACAAGTGAATTAAAAGAACGATATTGAAACTGTTTGAAGTGACTATTAATCTAAAATTTTAAATATATAGTTGAAACATTTGACTATCAAAAATTGAATAGTTTGAAAAATTAAGTTAACAAAAGTTATACATGTACGTAAATAAGAAAGATGGGGAAAACGATCACTTCTACTATGATGAATATTATACACTTCATTTAAACTTACACATTAAATAGATATGAAGTTAAGAAATAAGATTAGTTGTTAATCACCGATAGCTAATCTATTAACTATGGAAATTGTAGTCTATAGCATATTGTTACTCGATTATATAGCAGTGAGATGTTACCTTACAAAACTTGATATTGTTAACTGAAACTAGAATGTCTTTTGGGGAAAATGACTTTAAAAATTCATCGGATAAAACAAAGTGTAAATAGTGTCCGTTGTATTTCACATTAAAAAACAGACAGATTTTTGTTACTACGACGAAACTTTGTCATGTGTCTATCTGAGAAGTAAAAAATGCACGATCTATTCTGATTATATAGATTAATCCTTAACAAAGAAGACAAACCATTGAGTAATTTTATTTTTATTTTAGAATTATTTAAAAATCAACTATATACCCTTGTTGATAACCCAGAAGAAGTTATGATGCTAACTAGATTAGGATTTAACATACCTATAGTAGAACAAGCCTATACTGTAGTCAACAACAAGATGTTCAATGAAAATAAAAAATGATGCAAATAATGTTAATCCTTTAGAATGACTGGTTGTCTATTGTTGTCTCATCATTAAGTGGCCGCTTCTTTTCATCAAGGATTAGTGCAATGAGCCAGACGTTCACTATTGTCAACGTATCTATAGTTTTTTGCCGTATTCATGGAACGATAGTGTTGATTATCATCAAACTTAGAAAAAAAAAATATATATAACTTATATATATGCTAATTAAGAATCTGACACTAATAGCAGATGGTGTCGCATTTATATACAACTCGTTTTTTCTTACAAGCAGATAAGATTGATAAAAAAATAAACAAAAATGAGGCGACAGCTGAATAAAATAATATTTAAGCATTAGAGAAAAAGGAAGAGCTCAATTTTCGAATAAGAGAAAAAAAAAGAAGTTTTTACTATTGTCATAGAATTTCAGTAATGAATAAGATAGATGCACACCTAATTGTATTTTAAATCATGATCTTTTACTATACCACATTTTGAATGTAGTAATGTGGTATATGAATTTCTTTCTATTATTGAATTTAGTTAACTAATATATTTGCTTCTTATTACGTATATATACATATATTGTTATTATACACGTAATATTACAATGGTTTAATTAAGATATATATTTAAACATCTATTTCTTCTTTCATTCTGACTTGTATCTCTCGCTTTCTCTCTTGAGAGTTTTCTTCTCAATTCACCAGTGACATTCATTTTTTTTTTCTTTTTTCTCTAAAATACAAAAGAATAATTTTATTCCCATTTGTCATCTCTTTTTTGTTTTTTTTTGCTTTCAAATAGACAACGAAGAAGAAAAACATGTTTTTTTTTTTGTCAATCACAGTTCATTTTCTGGTTGTCTTAGCAAAGATGGATAGATTTAAAAACTAAAATCAACTGTTAATATATCTTTTTCTCTATCATTACCATATGGCATGATAAATATTATTTTGATATTAGAAGGAAAAACAAGTTCATTTAATTCTATTAACGTACACTATTTATCAAAAAACAAAAGAAGTTCCGTTTATAGTACGCAACTGAAGAGGAAATAAAACGACTAGCACGTATTTATTGGCTTTTAGAGTGTAAATAAGATTTTTAATTGTGAAGAACCAACGTCAACTTTTACTGTTAAACAGAAATAACTTTTTTTGCTAGAATTAGTATTTTCGTTTTATTGAACTTTTGCGGCTCACACTCACAGTACTCGTTCTCTCCAGATCTTATTTACATTTTGCAAACAGTTATGGACTAATGGACATTTAGAACTAGTTTTTATAGTCAAAGCCATATTCTAACACGAATTTATGATTTGACTGGGCAGTTTTAAATCTGCATGAATTCAAAAAACGCGTGTGATCAACTCGAACTCTGAAGTTGAGCTTTTCTTTTGGTATAACTGAATCGGATCTACATTTTCTCAATTCTAACATCCATTCGAATGTTTTATAACTCCAACATTTTATTTTTTTTACTTGTTTTATTCCTTCACATCAGATTTTTTCGTTCTATAATGCGATGTCAACGTGTGTTCAACGTTTGTATAATCTGAAATAGAGTTGAACTTTGTCAGAATTGTCCATTTATGTTCCAGAAAATATATTTAACATTAAAGTTTGTTTAACAATTACAACATGATTCATTGAATAAATCCCATTCCACACGGTCTAATACATTTGATATTCTGCAGAAATGTTTGAATAAGAAAAAATTAAATAATTAACAACGTATTTATACTGCTACGACTAAGAATTTATATACAGAATGGGACGGACAGTTAGAATAATATACAACAACAGTTTTCTAAAACAACTAAGACCTTGAAGAGCTTGAAACCAAAATCAAAACCGGTATAACAACTTGTCAAAGTAGCGTATCTGATGCTTAGATTTTTTTTGCGTACAGTATTCTCGTCGAAAGAAAAAAATACTGTTGCACAAAATTTTCTTCATTTCTTCTTTATCAATCAAAGAGGAAATGGAATTTGTCGTTAAACAATTTTTCCGTGTAAAGTCGATGATTTTAGACTGTCTTTTCCATGGGAGTATTCTAAATATACATTCTTATATACTTTTTTAGATCATTTATTGTTATTACGTTATTTTATTTGCTCTAAAAGTGTCGAAATTTGTAAAAAAGACACGATGGCGTTAAATTATCAACTAGATTGCTATGTAAAGAAAATAATATTATTGTGATCGATCGTATGCAAGGCGTTAAGTTCAATTGCTTTTATTTTAAAATTTTTATGAAGAATAGTCAATATTTTATGAATTAGAAAAAGCATTTAAGACAAAAGACTTAAGATTTTTGCCCAGAAACTTTTTTCAACGAAGTAACAAATTGATCATGGCTGTTTTCTTGTAGTGCTGAGTTAAATTCGAATTTTGTAATTATTTTCATCAAGTCGATAAAAGAACGTTGTCTTGCTCGACTTCAGTGAATTATTTCGGGACTTGTGAGCTAGATGGCTTCAATGTCTACCGCTTAACTGTCAGTTAGTAAAATTATCGAATAGTTTGACATCCACATTTCGATAGCTAAGAAAAGAGTCCTGTATTTCACAGGAATTATACCAGCGATGAATATAACCAACAGGTGGTATTTATAAAAATAATTAAAATTACTTGACAGAAACGCCCAAAAACTGAAGTTTTCAAATATTCATAAATCTCTAAACTCTTTGGTGCTTTTCAACTAATCGATATATATCCTAGTTACCTTTGAAGAACATCTCAATATTTGTGTCTGATGTT